TGCCCACAGCGTACAATTGATCACTTGGTCTACCAGTTGGCTCAGCGGATGCTTGATAGTGTAGAACCATTAAGACCTGCTGCAAATAAGGGTGATGGTGGTGGAAACTTTGTTTTGGAATTCTCTCAGGTTCCTGCAGTAGCACAAATCACCTCTGTTGTGGACACCCAGCCTCACATGTCACCTTTACTAGTTCGTGGTTCTCTTGATGGACCACTCAGGAACACTAGTGGAAGCTTGAGCTGGAGAACAGCTGCTGTTGGAGGCCGAAGTGCTTCAGGCCCATTGACTCCTATGCCTCCAGAGATGAACATTGTTCCGGTAACTACTGGTCGGTCTGGGCAACTTCTGCCATCATTGGTAAACATGTCAGGGCCACTAATGGGGGTGCGAAGTTCAACTGGAAGCTTGCGAAGTCGTCATGTATCTCGAGATAGTGGAGATTACCTCATTGACACTCCCAATTCTGGGGAAGATGGATTGCATACCGGGGTTGGAACTCATGGTATCAATGCTAAAGAACTTCAGTCAGCATTGCAAGGCCATCAGCAACACTCATTGACGCAGGCGGACATTGCCTTGATTCTACTTGCTGAAATTGCCTATGAAAATGATGAGGATTTTCGTGAGCATTTGCCATTGCTCTTTCACGTAACATTTGTCTCAATGGACAGCTCAGAGGATATTGTGTTGGAGCACTGCCAGCACCTGCTAGTTAATCTGCTGTATTCCCTTGCTGGTAGGCATTTAGAGCTGTACGATGTTGAAAATAGTAATGGAGAGAACAAGCAGCAGGTTGTGAGCCTGATTAAATATGTCCAGTCAAAGAGAGGTAGCATGATGTGGGAGAATGAGGATTCAACGGTTACCAGGACAGAGCTTCCAAGTGCAGCTCTCTTGTCTGCTCTTGTGCAGAGCATGGTTGAAGCAATCTTCGTCCAAGGAGATCTTCGAGAAACTTGGGGAGCAGAGGCACTTAAATGGGCTATGGAGTGCACATCGAGACATCTTGCCTGCCGGTCACACCAGATTTACCGAGCATTGCGACCCCGAGTAACAAATGATGCATGTGTATCTCTGCTTCGCTGCCTGCATAGGTGCTTGGGTAATCCTTTACCCTCTGTGTTGGGTTCTGTAATGGAAATATTGTTGACTTTGCAGGTGATGGTGGAAAATATGGAGCCAGAAAAGGTGATACTCTACCCCCAACTTTTCTGGGGCTGTGTAGCTATGATGCATACGGACTTTGTTCATGTTTACTGCCAGGTGCTTGAACTTTTCTCGCGTGTAATTGAGCGTTTATCATTTCGTGACACGACAACAGAAAATGTGCTTCTTTCAAGCATGCCTCGGGATGAGCTTGATACACACACATCTGATAGTTCTGAATTGCAGCGTACGGAATCAAGGAATGTCTGTGAACCGTCACCATCGAATGGAAAGGTGCCAGCATTTGAAGGAGTGCAGCCTCTAGTGCTTAAAGGACTCATGTCTACTGTTAGTCACGGTGTTTCTATTGAGGTTCTTTCACGAATAACGGTGCCTTCTTGTGATTCGATCTTCGGCGATTCAGAAACACGCCTCCTGATGCACATTACAGGCTTGCTTCCCTGGCTTTGCTTACAGCTCAGCCAGGATGCCGTAGTGGGACCCGCTTCACCACTGCAACAGCAGGATCAAAAGGCTTGTTCCGTTGCAGCCAAAATTGCAAACTGGTGTCGAGCAAAATCACTGGATGAGCTAGCTACTGTATTTATGGCTTATGCCTCTGGAGAGTTCAAGGGCATAGAGAATCTTCTTGCTTCTGTCTCACCATTATTATGCAATGAATGGTTCCCCAAGCACTCGGCTTTGGCTTTCGGGCACCTCCTACGGCTTTTGGAGAAAGGACCAGTTGAATATCAGCGTGTCATACTTCTTATGCTGAAGGCTTTGCTTCAGCATACTCCTATGGACGCAGCTCAAAGCCCACATATGTACGCCATTGTGTCCCAGCTGGTAGAGAGTACCCTGTGCTGGGAGGCACTTGGTGTACTGGAAGCACTCTTACAGAGCTGTAGCTCTTTGCCCGGTTCTCATCCTCCTGATGCGGGATCTTTTGAGAATGGATTTGGTACGACAGATGAGAAGATTTTTCCTCTGACCTCATTTAAAGCTCGCAGCGGGCCCTTGCAGTTTGCTGCAGGAATAGGATATGGTGGGGGTTCCACTCTGGCAGGGCAGTCTAATGTAAATGAATCTGGTATTTCACCAAGGGAGTTAGCATTGCAGAATACGTGTTTGATGCTAGGACGAGTACTAGACGGTTGTGCGCTCGGCAGACGACGAGATTACAGAAGGCTGGTTCCTTTTGTGACAACGGCCGGAAACCCTTGAGACCCAGGGTATTTTTAAATCTTGCGCACACTTGGGTTTTATAGACTTTATACTGGAAAGTTACGGGAGCTGATCAGTGTAAATAGATATTTGCATAGATTTAGCGGTTGTTCCAATATGTAAGATTGTGAACTTTTTTGTAGGATTGCACCAAGCTTTCCCCCTTCCATTCTTGTAAAAACGCTTAGCTCTATGTAGTTTTTTTAGTAGGGTTCGAGCTACTGTGTTAGCATAGCAAGTTATTGTCACATTCTGCTGAACACGATGGAATATATAAATATATACTCTTAATAAAAGCATTCTATTCACCCTCAAATTATCTTTATTGCTCGATACAGCTGAGATTTCCAGGTCGCGAGAATTTGTTATGAGATGGATTCTTCTTCAACAAGGCATAGGCGTCGCTAGTAGTTACTCTTCCAAAGGTTAAATGATAAAGCAAAGTATAGACAAAACATAACAAGGAGTACGTTTTAAAAGGTCAAAGATGAAGCTTAACAAGAAGATTAAATCTAATTTTGGTATCTTCCAATAGTGCAAAGCAGCAAAATATAGAAAACCGTAACTTGACTTTCTTAACTGCAGCAGGAAAGATGAAACCAATGAAGACAGCAGCTGTTGCTCCAGTGAACTGGAAAGCATCCCATATGCTGGGCATCAAATTTGAAACCAAAAAAGACGATAATGACGAGACCAATGCAAACCTCAAATTGTCTGAAGCCAAAGGCATTGAAGATGGAAAGAGGCCGTCTAAGTTTAACCGCAGAATTCCAATTTATTGTGGCATAAGTGATTATGTCACATCTCTTGGATTAACCGCAAAATTCCTTCTGACCTCGTAGATTGGTGAACGGTAATTTATTATGTTCATAAACGAATTCTTTCTCATTATGACTACCTGTATCTCATTCATAAGGAATCTCAATCACTAGACAATTTCAAGGCTTATAGGATTGATGTTGAAAATCAACTCCGTAAAAGAATTAAACAACAAGTCAAATGTTACCGTATTGGTGAATACTATGATAGATATGACGAATCAAGAGAACGTCTAGGGCCTTTTTGCTAAATTTCTAGAGGAGTGGTATTCGTTACGAATATCATACCTAAACCCCCAATGATCACGTATATCAACACAATCAAATGACATAGATTGAGTGTGGATGTGTAGCATTGAAATCAAATGCAATGTGATCCGAACATGTTTATTTCCAACTGATCATATCTTATTCTAATGAGATCAACCATAAACTTTAATCATAATGAAACTAAACGGAATACTTTATTTTTGAAATAAACTAAATATCCATGAATAAAAATGTGTCTAAAACAGACAACATCCGAATACAAACTCTTACTAAACTGACATATCGTCAAATGATGCAACATCCTTGTGAGCATTATGTTTATGTAAAACCTTATGTGACAATTATTTAGTTAATGGATCCATAATTATGGAATTTGTCCTAATATGTTTTATAGAAATTTGACAAATCTGAATTCTTTCTTTAATAACTAGAAACTTGATGTTTATAAATTTTGACATTATCAAGTTCTTATTAGAATATAAAACTGCTATTGTCACAGAATAACTAAAGTGGTCTTTCAAATCCATCCAAAATATGCAGCTTAGTGACAATATTTTATAGTCATATTCCATGCTCAAAATCAAAATATCCAATGATCTCCAATTGGTCTGATTTTCTTGAGTGTGATCGTGTAATCATTGATTCTTTATAAATACCAAATAACCTAATTGGTTGCTTTACAAATATCCACCCCAAAGTTACTTAAATATATGTCAAGCATTCCAACAATGAATGCTATATTTATATGTGTGCAAACCTAAGCATAACTCCAAACTGCTAAAGCAAATGAAATTTTCTGTATTTTTTTTCTTTGAGTTTATTATTTGGGCATTAATTGAGACTGAACTCGACTCCCTTAGTAATAGGGATATTACCTGGTTTACATACATGCATCACAAATATCTTAAGAACCTTATCGACGTAATTCTTTTGTAATAATCTAAAACTACTTCAAGAACGATCTCAGTGTATCTGTATCCCTGACACAAAATAGGTATCGCAAAAATCTTTCATTTCAATTTTTCATGACAGAAATATCCTGGTTTCGTGCAATAAGTTCATATCATTGCAGACAAACAAAATGTCATCGACATGCAATACCAGGAAAATATGCTTACTCCTACTAAACTTGTGGTTAGGGGTGGCGTGGGTTGGATTGAGTTGGGTCGATTTTTGTCCTAACCCAAACCCAACCCAACTAAATGTCGGTCGGGTTGGGTCGGGTTGGAACTGCCTTTCAACAAATATTAAAGTCCCAAAATACTTATTTTTTCTAACAAAATACTGAATATAAAACAACATTAATAGCCTTTCAATATCAATACATTTAATATTTGATAACATATAACATATTTGACAACATATATATAATGTAAACATCACTAAACAAGCTCTTGAATATACCTGGAAACGTGCAAAAAAGAGGAGTAACTTAGATACACATGATGAATTTTTCATTCTGATAATTATAATTTTGTAATCACAAAATG